AGAATCTCATGGACAGAGGAGTCTGGCAGCCTGCAGTCAGTAGGGTCGCAAGAGTTGGACATGACTTAGTTGCTAAACCCCCACCAGCAAGCGCGGCGGTGGAGACCCGTTTTCGGAACACAGAGTCCCTGTCAAAGCTCAGGTGTCGTGTTCGCTGGCGGCCCTTCCACAGGCGGCCCTTGAAGGAAGAAGCTCGCTTCCTTGGTTTCTGAGAAAAGGCCCCAGAAGCCGGGGTGCGCCCGCAGCTCTCCGAGGTGGATGTGGTTTTCCGTGAGAAACGGGCTTGTTCGGTCCACAGCGGCGTTCACTGAGCTGCCCGCGGGCTTTCCGTCCGACGTTCGCTGGACTCTGACCAGCAGCCCGAGCCCTTCACACGCGCTTTGTATTTTAACACATAGGGTGCCGGACAGAGGTACTTGAGTCCACGTCTAAGACTGATCGTCCCTCCTGTTTCATCAGAGACAGTCTTGGGTGAGACCGGCCCTCTTTAGGCGTACCTGCCGCAGGGACGGGACTGTTAGCGCGGTGTTCCCGCGGGGAGCTCGATCCGCCCGCGTGCCGGCCGCTGCTGCGAGGCTCCACCGCCTGCGGATCCAGGAGAGCGTCTGACCTCACCGCGGACCTGAGAGGGGCCAGGGCCTCCTGGGTTAGTGTGAGCGGCTGCCTGGAACACTTGGTGATTGCTTTTAAGAGTTTTGGTTTCAGTTATTTTTGTATTCTAAGGCAGATATTTAAGTCTACATTCATGGTTTTTTCGAACTAGGGCTATACAGTTAACAGATAAGGTATTATTTAAAGTCGAACGTAATACTCCTTCTGATAGAAAGATAGGTTTTAACATATATTCATTTATTTTGCATATATTTACTTATTTTTTATAAATATCTATTTTCATTTGTTGTTGTTCAGTCGCTAAGTTGTGTCTGATACTCTTTGCAACCCCATGGACTGCAGCACGCCAGGCTTCCCTGTCCTTCACCGTCTCCCAGAGCTTACTCAAACTCATGTCCATCGAGACGGTGAGGCCATCCAACCATCTCATCCTTTGTTATCCCCTTCTCCTCCTGCCTTCAATCTTTCCCAACATCAGGGTTTTTTCCAGTGTGTTAATTCCTCGCATCAGGTGGCCAAATTATTGGAGTGTCAGCTTCAGAATCAGTCTATCTAATTCAGGACTGATTTCCTTTAGGATGGACTGGTTGGATCTCCTTGCAGTCCAAGGGACTCTCAAGAGTCTCTCCAACACCCCAGTTCAAAAGCATCAGTTCTTTGCAATCAGTGTTCTTTATGGTCCAACTCTCACATCCATACATGATTCCTGGAAAAAGACAAAGTTTGAGTTTGTAGTTATCAATAATAAGATGCAAGCATGTACATTTTTGCTGTTGAGAGATACTGGCTACAACCTAACCGAAGGGTGACTGAAGGTTCATTGCCCTGATTCACTCAGGCTGTGGCCTGGCCCACTTCCTCCTGGCCAGTGCCTGGTTCTGAGCGTTGGCGTCTGATATCCCAGGTCACCTGGTCGGTAGGTGTGTTGCTGATGTGGGCTCTGTCTTCTGGCGCTGGTCTGTCCTTCCAGGCCTCCCCTTCCAAGAGTGAGCTCGGCATGGTGCCAGCGACCGATCCTGAGAGGGCTTTCTCCTGCTGTTTGGTTGTGCTCCCCACTAGCGTCACCGTCTCTCCTGAGAGAGACAAGACCGCACAGATTAGTGTTTGCATTCTAAGATCCGCCATGCACAACGTGGGATTTTATACTTATAAATAGTATGTGAGCATACTACTTTTAAAATTGCATATGGCAAAAACAAAACATGAGAATATTGAATATATGTTAAAGATTACCAACACTTAAGATTAATTTATCTACTCAGTGCAACTTTTTGTAGCAGATAATGTTGTGTGGTTCTTTCATGGAGATGTGTAAGTTCATTTGAAGCTTTGGTGACCATTTTCTTTTTATAGGTAGTACTACTAAATTATTTTGATGGAGCACTGTTTTTAACCACATAATGAGACATATTTATTAATAGACATGTTGTTTTAATTTACCAGAGTAATACAATGCAGATCTGAAACCTGAGTTGCTGAATAAGTGAGTCTGTGGACGGCTCCTTTGTAGAGGAGCTGGGCTTGTCTTACTCAGAGGAGGGTTCTGCCCAGCGCACCGTGGACAGTGTCTTCATCATGGTTCATGGTGAGGACCTCAAGTGTTTTGAAATATGTTTTTAATTCTGTTTTGGCAAAGGTGGCCTTGTAGACTTCATAGAATAATTCATGTGTTTTTATGCCAAACTTGATTTCAGTTTTTAAAAATAATTTTTTATAACTTTCATTAAATTGTTATTTTGGAAATGTCAAGAATGGTAAAAATAAGGCCAGTGAATCTGGAAAAGCACTAAAAAAATTTGTGATGTTGTTTTATGGTTTATTTTTGAAGTATATTCTTGAAAATGTCATTAGACATGAAGGAGTTAAGGCATTTGCTTTCTTTGTATTATGAAAATTAGATGTTTCTTTTGAATATTTGGGAAGTGTTTGAAGTATACGTACTTAGTTATTAATTACTTGCATTTTTAACCCAGTATTGGATCATTTGTTATTAATCATGTTATTAAGTTTACAGTTTTTGTCAAGAATCCAGTTTTTAAAAGCTTTGTAGGTTATTCTGATGATAGCTGTGATACTTAGCATTCTGTGGGTGTATAGTGTCTATACTTGACATTAGTGTGAGTGCATTGCCTGTATCATCTCCCTTAGTTTTCAGAGCAGTCCTGTAGGTATGTGGACAGGTGGTAAGCTGGGGGCAGTGATCTGCCCAGGTCTCGTGGTTCTGGAACAGAGCCTTTCTGTAACGCAGCACTGTAGACTCTGAAGGTTTAAGATCCCTGCAACAAAAACAGTGTTTGCAGGTTTTATAGAAAAATAATTTATAAATAGAACAACTTAGAGCATAATTTTAAGGAATAACCAGAGGCATGATATAATGAAACGTTACGTGTATATGTATATATATGTTCTGTTAGGTTGGTACAAAAGTAATTGCAATTTGGATTGAGTTTTAAATGATTATAACTAGGCTCAAATGCATCTTTATTAACCAAAATAGGAACCATTACAATCAACACATTTTTGCCAGTGAGAAATAGGTTTGTTCCTGTAGCATAAAAATCCATGCTTCGGGATTTGCTGAACTCTTGGAAAGCATTTTCTGCCTCCTGCTGGTTGTAGAAGCATTTTCCCTGCAAAACTTTGTTGGGACGCTTGAAGAAGTGGCAGTCGGTTGGTGAGAGGTGAGATGAATATGGCAGATGGGGCAAAACTTGGTAGCCCAATTTGTGCAACGTTTGAAGTGTTGGTTGTGCAGCATGTGGTCAAGCGTCGCCCCACGTGGAGGAGAACTGGGCCCTTCTGTTGGCCAGTGCTGCCTGCAGGCGTTGGCGGTTCTCGCTGCATTTCACCTATTTGCTGAGCGTACTCTCTCGGATGTGGTGGTTTCACCAGCGATCAGAAAGCTGTAGTGGGTCAGACCCTCATAAACAGTGACCGTGACTTTCTTGGTAACGTTTGACTTTGGGAAGTGCTTTGGAGCTTGTTGTCAGTCCAGCCACTGAGCTGGTCGTCGCCAGCTTTATAAAATCCACTTTTCGTCGCATGTCACAATGCTGTCAAGGACCGGTTCATTGTTGTTGCACAGAAGAGAAGACAGCACTTTAAAATGACAGGTTTTTTCGGTCCGCTCCCGAGGCGCCGACTCGTCAGGCTTTTCCACTTTTCCAGTCTGCGTCAAATGCTGAGCGACTGTAGGGTGGTCGACCTTGAGTTCTCCGGCAGCTTCCCTTGTAGTTGTAAGAGGATCTGCTTGGATGGTTGTTGTTAATTAGTTGTTGCCAACTTCCGATGGCCGGCCACTATGCTCCTCGTCTTCAGGGCCCTTGTCGCCTTTGCAAACCTTGAACCCCCACTGCGCTGCATGTTCGTCAGCGGTTCCTGCCCAAAAGTGTGGATGCTGCGAGTCGTCTCCGTTGCTTTGAACTCGAATAAAAAAATCGCTTGAATTTGATTTTTGTCTAACATCATTTCTGTAGTCTAAAATAAATATAAAATAAACAGCAGGTAATAAGTCGTTGGCAAAAAAAAAACACATAAAGCAAGAAATGTGCGTTGAGATGATGTATAACATAACCACACTTAAGAATGCATTCCAGTGTCAGAAAAGTTCAACAGTGCAACTCTGTAGCTAACTTTTGCACCAGCCTGAATATAAACATGAGTATGTAGACTGGAAGGCCTTGCTGTGTCTTATCTTCAGACGGGTGAGTGTGCTGTGTGGTCAGCAGGGAGTGGCCGCCCTTCTCTCCTCGCTGTCTGCAGATGTGACCCGCTTGTGTCTCGCACAGTCACCAGCAGCTGGAGTGTGAAGCGTGGCCGAGGTGGCACAGATGGCCTGCCCTCCCCGAGGCTGGGGTCCTGCCGCGTGGAGACCCTGCTCCGGCCGCAGGGCGCGGCCTGGGTCCGGTGTCTGCTCACCTGGCCCCTTTCCTCCTGCGGGCCTCCCGCCCCTGGGTCTGGGTGTGGCCCGGCCTGTCCCTGGTCTGAGCCTGAAATGGAGTGACAGGTGAAACCTGTTTGCTCCCGTCACTGCCAGGGCTCCTTACTCTGCCTTCCCGGGTGCGGTTTACATATTAACCAGCAGTTTCCCCAGGTGACTCTGCGGTTTCACCAGAGTCCTCTGGAGCTGTGCCCTAGTTGTTGCTGACGGTTCTAACTAACATCTCCTGAGTGAATAGTTGCCCTTCCTGATCTGGAAGGGAGGATTTCAGACCAAACAGCCAGTTCAGGGGGCCTCCCGGATGATCACACTCTCCCTTCTCTGCTCAGGAGCCCGTTTGCTCCCCTTGAAGGAGACAGTAAGGCGTGGAGGAGCTTCCTCGGTGGGAGCTGGGTGTGCATTTCTTTTACGAGTCCAGGACTGAAGACTTGGCTTGGGGAGCTGCACGTCCGCGTGCCCGGGTTTGTGAGGACAGCGGCCTCCATGTGCTCCCTGAGCTGTTTCTCCCAGGATGGCTGGACGCAGGGAACTTCAGGTTGTCACCCACCCCGGTTGTGTTTGCCTCTCGATTCTTGTGGTTCATATTCCAGTGCAAAATGTAATTTAACCTTAAGGTTATTAGTGTTTTTTTGCCGAGTGACTCCTAAACTACTGAACACTACGTTTGTGGTTTGTACAACTTCTAAGCAAGTTTCCAGTGCTCAGGAATGTTCCATGGATTAGTCTGACGACGTTGTTAGGCATCTTGCGTGTGTGGTTACAAATGTGCGTGATTGGTACCAACAGCTTGATTCTTGAGAAACTATGCAGACTTTACATTAAATAGAGTGATAGTTGCTGTCTGCTTCTATGAACTTCTGAGCAAAAAATTCAGAAATGGTTATACACTTAGCTGAGGGCCTGAGTGTTGTGAGAAATTGCTTCTGTGGCATGTATGTGTTTATTTCTTTTTTTAGTGGCTTAGCGCTGTTAAAATGATGACATTTAAGCCCTTCTCTTGGGTCTGTCATCGGCCAGTGCGGCGTTCGTTCATTCAGAGTAATATTTTCCAAGGGCCCCCTATGCGTTAGGCGCTGTGGGCAGGGCCTGGGCCTTGCGCGCGGCCTGCTCTGCCGTCGGGGGCGAGCGTGAGGGGGCTGCCCGGCGTCATGTGCAGTTCCCTTGGCGCTCACCTCGACGGGCCGGTCCCTGCGAATGCGGGGCGCGGAGCCCCGGGGACCCCTGTGCTTTCCGCAGCGGCTCCCGTCTGAGCGCGCAAGAGCACTGGGAAGCGTGTCTGGAGTGTGGCGCGCGCCCCGCCTGGGTCCCGAGGAGCAGGCGCCCTGTGCATCCTTTGCCATGGATCTTCGGATGACAGGGAACCTTCTCTGTGGTTCCGGGGAGGGCGTTCCTGGCCAAGAGCGTGACTCACTCAGCGAGTATGTGCTCACCTGATGCCCGTGGGGCCGGGGTGAGCCAGGAGACGCCTCCAGGGGCACAGCCTGGTAGGGGGCGGTGCGCCCAGGTCCGCAGGCCGCGCTCCCTGCCGTGCGGGGCAGGAAAGCGCCTGGGGCTTAGGCACAGCTTCCCACAGTTCATCTCAGGAAATGTTCGCTCTGAATCCTGAGGAGAAAAGGTGGAAAGCTGACTTAGAAAGAACCCGGTGAGTCCGTCTGTGGGCCCGTGTGCACGCAGGCACGCCGTTCCTCGGGACTCCGCGCCTCGCTTTTTTCACCAGGCCTGAGCGCGTGCCTTGCTCTGGCTGGCGAGCGGCCCCCCTGAGCAACAGCTCTAGGCCCCAAATCCACGTTCTGTTTCTGCTCGAACCTCTCCCGTGAAGCCGTGTCCCAGGTGGGGCTGGTGTGGAAGCCTGGAACAGAGAGGTGTGTCTTGAGAGAGCAGTGAAACTGGAGCGGGGCGCATGAGCTTTGGGTTCGTTTGTTTTTGCAGCGCGGCCTAGTGACTGAAAATCGTGTATGTCTGTGTGTGTCTGGATGTACAATCGTGCAGTTTACTCATTTGAAGACCCTGATGCTGGGAAGGATTGACTGTGGGAGGAGAAGGGGACGACAAGAGGATGAGATGGTTGGATGGCATCACCGACTCAGTGGACATGAGTTTGAGTAAACTCCAGGAGTTGGTGATGGCAGGGAAGCCTGGTGTGCTGCAGTCCATGGGGTTGCAAAGAGTCAGACATGACTGAGCGACTGAACTGAACTGAACAAGTGTGCCTGCTGGCCCGTCTGGGCCAAGGCGCTGGCCGCTGGCTGAGGAGCTGCACGTGTTAACAGGTGGGTTTCTTACGGGCCTTGTAAGCCAAGGTAAGAACGTAGGTGAAAGAAAGTGATGACGTTTGCAGTTGAGCTCTCCCGCCCTCCCAGGGAAGCGGAGGCCACAGGGCGAAGGGGGAGCAGCCTGGCGGCAGGAGGCTGATCGGGTGCAGGGCCTTCGTCTTGTGAAATGAAGGCCACAGCTCATATGCAAGCAGAGGATGAAAGAGAGCCGTTCGGGGTCATCCCAGGTTGGCACTTGGCTACGAGGTAGGTGGTGGTGCCCTTGAGTACATGCGTGTGTGCTAAGTCACTTCAGTCATGTGAGATTCTTTGTGACCCCGAGTTCTGTAGCCCACCAGGTTCCTTTGTTCATGGGATTCTCCAGGCATAATATTGGAGTGGGTTGCTTTGCCGTCCTCCAAGGGCTCTTCCCCACCCAGGGATCAAACCCGTTTCTTTTGTCTACCTACACTGGTAGGAGGGTTCTTTACCACTAGCACCAACCTGGGAAGCCCTCTTGGTACCCTTCTGTTCTGTTCAGTTGCTCAGTCGTGTCCTGAATCTTTGTGACCCCATGGACTGCAGCACGCCAGGCCTCTATGTCCATCACCAACTCCTGGAGCTTGCTCCAACTCATGTCCATCAAGTCGGTGACGCCATCCAAGCATCTCATCCTCTGTTGTCCCCTTCTCCTCTCACCTTCAATCATTCCCAGCATCAGGGTCAGCTCTTTGCATCAGGTGGCTAATGGAGTGGGTAGCCGTTCCCTCCTTCAGAGGATCTTCCCGACCCAGGGATTGAGCCGACATCTCCTGCATTGCAGGCAGATTCTTTACCATCTGAGCCCCCAGGGAAGCCTTGATGTGCTCATCGCCAAACCAGGCGCCCTCACTGGCCTCCCACCTCTTGTGAGGGTGTCTGTGTGTTCCCACCCTTCCCTGGTGTCACGGGTGACTCCATCTGGCTCCTCTTTCTTGGCACTGTAAGTATTTTCACATTGGACTCTGTCCTCTGTTTGTTTTTTCAATGAAGGCCTGTAATTAAGCGTGGCACCATTATCCTGAGGTCAGGGAGGCACACGGGTCAGGGTGGTGCCTGACGGAGCGTGCACACTCAGAACTCCGTGACTGTAGGGTCTGCCTGAGCCCCTCTGGGTCCCGGAGCCCTGTCTCCAGCTGAAACCTCCGTGGCTGCTTCTGTGTTAAGGTCTGTGTCTGACTTTAGGAGCAGAACCCCCGGGGGCAGTGGCTCTTGAAGCATTAACAGCAGGCTTTTTTAGGTGAGTGGTGCCCGGGTCATTTTCACTAGGAGGAAGCTATGGGGACTTCTGCAGCACGTGCATAAAGTGCTCTTGCTTTTTAATGGCTGTGTAATATTCCTTGTACGAGTCGTATTATTCACACCTTGTCTCTACAATACAGTGTTTCAGTGATGTTCCTGTGAACATTCTGCATAGTTATCTCCCTGTAGTTGTATTTTTGTGAAATAGAAATGGATTTCCAAAAGCAGTTAGCATCGGAGGGGTGGACACGTGGAACATGTTGATAGACTTTGCCGGAGTTCTCATCTTAGGAGGCTCTTCCAGCTCACACCCTGCTGCAACGGGTGTCACCCTTCACCTAACCCTGATGCTGGGAGTTCATCTTTTTTCAGCCTGACAGAAAGTCCTTGGTTTCAAACTTCACATTTCCTCATTCACTGTTGAGGAGCAGCGTCTTTCACAGATTCATTGATCATTATACTTTCTATATGATGTGTCTCTTTTTCTGTTGGGATGTTTGTTTTAATCTCTTCAATTTGTGCAAATGCTGTTTATAAAACATATTGATGTTTTATCTTGTATTAAAAAATAAATTTTTTTCTATTTAGTCATTTTGGTCTTTTAATTTTATATCCATCAGTGGATGTATTTTACTAGTCATTTGTTTCTTCATTGTTATGTACTTGAAAAGTAAGTAAAAAATCAAGGGAGCACCTATTTTAAAATCGTAACTGTCTTAGCTTGAGTTACGGCTGACAGCATATATTCTTTTGTGTTTAGTAATCGCCCTATTTTTTTAAAGTGTGGGCTGTCTTTTTTCCTTAAATCAGGCTCAATTCTATTAGACTCTTCACCAGAATTTAGAGTTATCAGGAGGAGACTCACACAGATAGTTTTGTGTCTTAAGGATTTCATTGTGGAACTACTTTGGATATGAGGGGTAAATTTTTCATTTTTAGCAGTAATTAATGAGCTTCCCTGGTGGCTCAGATGGTAAAGAATCTGCCTGCAATGTGGGAGACCTCGGTTCATTCCCTGGATCGTGACGATCCCCTGAAAAAGGGAAAGGCCACCCACTCCAGCATTCTTGCCTAGAGAATCCCGGGGACTGAGGAGCCTGGTGGGCTGCACTTCATGGGGTCACAAAGAGTCGGACGCGGCTGAGTGACTTAAGCACGTACAGCACCTAAATGAACTGAAAACCTTTCCAAAAACCAGAACATGAGCTTCAGAAGTTCGGAATTAAGCCATGAGCTTTGGAAAAATCAGCCTTATTGGTAGTTGTAAATGGTTAAGGTTATCTGACTATTTAAAACTTCCTTCTAATATGGAATTTAGAAAGATGGTAATGATAACCCTATATGCAAAAGAGAAAAAGAGACACAGATGTACAGAGCAGACTTTTGGACTCTGTGGGAGAAGGCGAGGGTGGGATGTTTCGAGAGAACAGCATTGAAACATGTATATTATCTAGGGTGAAACAGATCACCAGCCCAGGTTGGATGCATGAGATAAATGTTCGGGCCTGGTGCACTGGGAAGACCCAGAGGGATGGGGTAGAGAGGGAGGTGGGAGAGGGGATCGGGATGGGGAACACATGTAAATTCATGGCTGATTCATGTCAATGTATGACAGAAACCACTACAGTATTGTAATTAGCCTCCAACTAACAAAAATAAATGAAAAAAAAAACAACACAAAACCTTCCAATTTGTTTGATTTGTTTTAGTGATATGCTTTTTTTTTTCAACTTAACGTCTGCAAACATCCCAGTAGAGAAAATAAGTTAATGGGTTAAAAAATGATTCAGTTCAGTTCAGTCCCTCAGTTGTGTCCGACTCTCTGCAGCCCCATGGACCGCAGCACGCCAGGCTTCCCTGTCCATCAGCAACTCCCGGAGATGACTCAAACTCATGTCCATTGAATCAGTGATGCCATCCAACCATCTCATCCTCTGGCGCCCCCTTCTCCTCCCGACTTCAATCTTTCCCAGCATCAGGGTCTTTTCTAATGAGATTAACA